ATGAGCAATGTTAACTACACTAATAAAATACACTCGTAAAATATTTAATGCGCTCAGCAGTAGTCTCTGTGACAGGTTTAAACGAGAACTAGAATTACTCTCTTTCCTGTTCCATACCAGAGAAGTGACTGTTTGAGATGAATATTTCGGGTTCTATCAGGCCTTGGCGACACATTAATCATTGTACATGAAATGTCGACTATTAATATTTATTCATGCAGCCTGTCTTGTATTTACTTTGTTATCAAGGAAAACAGCGAGGTTAGGTAGAGAGACGCTCAATAACTTTTTCCCTCTAAAAGTAGGAGCTTTTGAAGGGGTGAGCCTAACAGAGTATTGAATGCACTTAACATGTTAAGTTTTTCATTGTTTTTATTTACTGTATTTTTATTTAGAAGGGCCAAGTCTACCGAACATCGCAATAGATGTGCAAGCAACTTCAATGACCGTCAAATGGACAGTCCCAGCTGATAACGGAGGAAGTCCTATAACTGCCTACCGAGTAGTACTCTTACAGCGAGACACAGTCATAGGCGAAAAAAATGTGACTGACCCTGTTACCAAAACTTGTGTTTTTGCTGGCTTGAGAAAAAGTTCAATATACACTTTGAGGGTCTCTGCCAGGAACTTTGTGTTTGAGGGACCCTTTAGCCAAGCGACAGTTCAAACAAAGCCTGAAGGTAAGAGGGTTGTCAACCAGATTCAGCCGGTCAATAGATCGTTTTCTCTCACGTGACCAGCCGCTATTCAAATTTCTTGGATCAAAGAATTTTTTAACTACAAAAGCCTCAAATCCCCACAAGCATTTTTCTCCATACCATTATGGGCGCTGTACATTGCAGTTTTGTACACTATTATGGTCGCCGTGACGTCAGGTGAAAACGATCTATATATGGCATGGTTCATTAAATCGTATTCCAAATTTAAAAGGTAATTAACTATACAGACTAAATAGGATGTACATGTATGTTGCGAATGACTTCAGACTTCAGACACAAGAAATATCAGGAATAATTATATATATATAGCAAATAAAAATATTGCTCTTATCAATCTTCTTAGCATTTCACTGTAATGTGACTAAGGGCAATCTCATGATTTTTTACACGCTAAAATGTTTTTCTTTTTCCTTCTGTACACTGCTTTGATGTGTACGTTTTTATCTACAGTTAGTATGGTTCGAAAATCTGCTTGTTCGTGTCCATCTTTTACATTGGATATAATTTCGGTTTTTGTTGAAAACTATACTCTACCGTCTACACGACATACAGACTTAGGACACTTAGCAATATAATTTTGCTTTGTGTTAAGGTATTCCTGAGGCGGCTTTAATAAAGGACTTACCACCTGAGACAAAAGACGTAACAGTGAAATTAATGTGGGATGAGCCTCAGAACAATGGTGCGGCTATCACAAAGTACACTGTGTACCAAAGAATTGTAAATAATAGTAATGCAACTCGAGAGTGGACTAAAATACGCATTATCACTGACGTCTCAGTTCGTGAGGTTGCTGTCAAGTTGGAGAAAGATCGTGAATACGAATTTTTAGTGACTGCCTCAAACAGATTTGGCGAAAGTGTAAAAGAAGAGAAATACACCAGAAAAATTGCAGCTGTGGGAGGTATGTGTAAGTTTGGCTAAATTCTTCAGTTAAATGCCATACAAATTGTAAGACCTGATAACAATGTGTCTCTGTTAAATCCTGGAAATTAGGAAGCTAATTCCTTTCCTATTATTCATAGCTTTTTGTTACAACTCAGTGACCGCAAAAATCTCCAATGCTTTTAATCAAGAAAGGGGCGTTAAAGTGACAGTTTCACCAAATGGGTTTGTATTGATGGAACCCCCGTAAGAATTACCATTGTCTTGCAGAAATTTACTAATAATACAACTACAGGAAAACTGTCAAAAAAGTGCTGTTTCTCAAATGCAGTCGAACTCTTAAAAAAATCAGTTTTTATGGATCTAGATCAAGTTCAGGAGGGGAAAGAAAAAAATTTGTTGTTTTGTGTTTACATCTTCATTAGAACGTCGAATTAGGAAGATTTTCTTTACCTAATAGTAATGCAGACGAAAAGTTGCAGAAGTGTGATTTGCAATTTATTTTAATATTTCCTTTTTTGCCGTTGTCGTCACTCATTGGGCAGATTGGCAAATTCCGATACTCAATGATCAATGATCAATTTGCTTTTTTTGACACTTTATTGGGGCAAAACTGCAATCATGAAAGAATTAACAAGGAGACGTATGATTAAAGAAATAAAATAATAATAATAATAATAATAATAATAATAATAATAATAAATTAATTAAAATTAAAAGAATAATTAAAAACAATTGCGGATCCCCCAAAGGGCAAGTGCAAACGGGACCCTTGACCCATGCAAGGTACCGCCCTGTTGTTAAAAAGAATGAAATTCAAACCCTAGATGTATGTTAACAAAAAAAAATGAAAAAAAAAAAAAAAAAAACCGCGCCCGCCGTCTTCACTTCTGCGACGTTTTCTCCGTTGAAAGTGCCTAGTATCAATGGCTTTCACCTCTTATGTACACAGATGTCCCTGCCTCCGTGGAAATCACAGACGAAATAATTTTATATTGGGACGAGCCAGACAGCAACGGAGCAGCCATCACACGGTATTCGATCTACCAAAGAGTAGGAAATGAATGGAAGTTGATTGGGGTGATAAATGATATTTCTAAACGCGAATATGTCGTTGAAATCGAGAAGGGCAAGGTGTACGAATTTGTGGTAACGGCTACCAACAAGTATGGAGAGAGTTCCTTGGAAGAAAACATCAAGTGGATTCAAGCGTTGTCAGGTACGGTTAAATCAAAGCAGCCTAAACGCATCCCGCTATCTTGGTTTATCTGACTCCGTCTGCGTGAGCCAAGTGTGACCATACATGGAGTGAAGCGGCAGCAAGGTGCGCCTTCATATGCTGAAATATCGCCTGTCTGATTCCAGGGGCACCCAACGAGGATATAGTTCAAAGCCACTTAAACATAGCATTGTTGAACGTATTTTAGTATTTAAACGGTAGATATAGTCATGTTTTTATCCCCTCAAAATTTTTCATCTGTTCGGATTACCTAGCTGAAAGTCTAGTGATCCGAAAATTATAGGCATCAAAGCTTACCTTTCCGAAAATTTTAGCCAGAAAAAAGGTTCCAGAAAATTCTAGGTGACCGTACTAGGAGGAGCAGGCAAGCAAGAAATTTTACAACAAACGTTCCGAAAATTCTAGATCTCAAATCGTCTTCCGAACAGATATTTTCCGAAAATTGACGTTGGGTGCCCCTGTGATTCCTCTGAACTTTTGAAATGCTGAAATTGGGATAGTTCTTCTTATTCTTCCTGTTTCTCAATTGTGATCATCGGAAGTGTTGTTTGGGCACGTTCACTTTGCTAAGAATAAATAATATGGGCGTGATTAAAAAAAACTCATGAGCTTGGAATAACCCGTGTACAGCCGCCCCCTTCCTCAGAAAAAAAAATCGGGGAAAGGATGTCTGTGATTCCCCGTTGCTAATCGTGTTATGGTATAATTTTGCATAAATTAAAAAAAAAGTTTCCGCCAACCAAAATTTCCGTGGCTCATGTTTCATGTCATTCCAGTTCTAAAAATTCCGGTGCATGCGACTTATTGCCATTGAGCAATTGAAAGAGTGAGACATTTTTAAAATCGCTTTACTCTATACCGATCAAAAATGTTCTTACAAGCAGATCCCTGATCTTATGCAAGCCTTCCCACTGGATACGGAAATTTATTAGTTTGAAATAAAGTGTTGACAGGTCAAACGCGACTCATAAGCTCGTGATTGTGCGAAACGTGACCTTAGAGTTTGCTCTTTTCTTTCTAGCGCGTAGAGTATGCATCACAGTGCATGAAGCACCATAAACTTTTACTGAACAAGTCTTATTTTTGCCTTGATTCTTACATTTAGATGTCATGAAGCTAGTATGTCTTATGCATATTGAGTATTATTTCCTGTGGTTTTAACTTTCTGCAGGTGTTTGTGACGGGATTTGATCAGGTGTCGGATGCCGTTTAGCCGCAGTTTTTCTTCGACCTCTTTGAAACCTTAAAGAACGGCTAAAGAACCTTTGAATGAAGATTTTAGTTCTTTTCTTTTCTCCGAAATCCCTGCATCTGAATAGCTACATGCATTTAGTTGTTGGTGAATGTTATGATTTTCTGATTGCCTGTTACGTTTTGACGACAGGCCCTAAAGCCAATCAAAAGCCCTCATTTAAATGATGTAGTGATCTACGAGTAACAGCCAATCAAATCATGTTCCACACATTCCGGGAAAAATCACGTGGCCGTCGTACACGATTAGCAACGGAGAATCTCAGACGCCTCTTCCCCGCGTTGTTCTCTGAGAGGAGGGGGCGGCTTTACACAAGCTAAGCTTATAATAATAAGAGTAAAGAGACAAAAAGGGAAGTGAAAATGATGTTAACTTACAGACACATATAAGGACATTTTTGCTAGCAAAAAATCCTTTTTATCGCGAGATCGTTAACATTATTTTTTTTTTCTTAGGGTCTAATCCTGCAGCAAATCAAACAGGTTAGAACATACAAGACCTTTTTACGTAATAAAATTTTGCATAACAAGATAGCGAAATGTTAAGTGAGATTTCAGTACTCTTTTGCGCACTCGATACTTTATAGATGAGTGTCCTTCCGTAGCACGACAAACAATGTGTAGAAACTCATAATAAACTAGACTGCAAAACATTCGGTTTTTTCCTCTCGGCCCCAGTCTCGCTCTCTGTATTCAGCCTCGTTCCAAACCTTTTGTTTGACTGCTCGCGGGTACTTGAATACGCAAAAATACGGACTGTTTTGCAGTCTAATAATAAACTGGAAACAATTTCTTCCCTTTTTCTGTTCCTAGCAAATATAGTGTTATGAATAACGGGGTAAATACCCGTGGGAAATTGTAATCCCTGTAATCTTTAGTATGTAGGAATACCGATTTTTAATTAGTAACGTTCAGTGTGTACAGCACTACGTTGTATGTATCCTTACGAAGTCAAGGAGTCGCAGTCAATAATATTAACTGCTATGTAGGTGGCTTGCAAGAGAGGTAATGAGACTGCTCAATTTTAGGTCTTTTACAACTAAAACTTGAGCACTAACTAGTTTTTCCTGTCAATCTAGCTATCATAATATACTAAATGCTAAACCGACTAACCACGACCTCAATAGGCAAACTATGGACATGTTTGGGTTAGCTGGCAGGGGGGAACAAACAAAAGTCGGCAAACTAGGTAAGTGAAACGCTTAGGTATTACTGCACCCACACGGCTACTGTTGACAAGAGGTCAGAAGTTAATTCACAATAAAACTCATAACACATGGGTAGTGATACTCTTCAAGGGAATTACCTAAACGCAGGATTTGCTATAGTTTGCATTTATTATTAATGTGCTTTGTCATCATGAATAAACCTTTCCTTAATTTTTTTAGGTTCTGTGAGAAATAGCGAAGGACTTCTGCACGGTGTTTACGCCAGTTGTATACTTCTTTTGTTGATTTTTACCTTTACCTTGATTTTTTTAATCTGGAAAATGCGACTTCGCTTGGGTGAGTTTGTTAATAGGTAAACTATACTCTTAAAAAGAAAAGCAGACTGACTAAACAGCAACATTATCATAAATTATTATTATTATTATTATTACAGATGAACCTCCATTAAGCGGCCACCTATTAAGAGGCTACCCTCCATTAAACGGCCAGTGATCAAGTCTCGAAATAGTTGTAGACAAGAATGTGACCGTAAACCTCTATTTAGCGGCCGCGGTCACCTTTCGCCCCGTCCCAACAAGTGTCCTCTCATTATTGTTACCTCTGTCAAGAGCGTGATACACTTAGTTTGGCTTTATTTGTAGAATATGATGGAGAAAAATACAGTTCGAGATAGAGGGTGACGACTGATTGTGAACCAGAAATGCTGCTCTCTTCACGTGTTTGTTTCAAACTAAAGTGATGTTTCTGCTCGGGATTATGCCCATTTATGAAGAACCTCTATTGAGTGGTCAACCTCCGTTAATAAGCGGCCACTTGCCGGTACCTCGAAGGCCACCGCTTAGTAGAGGTTCAACTGTATTATTATGATTTTTGTTTGATCCTCTCCAGTTCTCTGTTTCTTAGGGGTATTCTCAGCCATGTCTCGGCAATTTCCCGAAGCTTAGAGACACCACACTTTCCGCAAGATATGAGCATTACCAAGGATTGCTGACAGCTGTGCACGTCCAAAAATGTCAGCAGACTTAACTTCCCATACTAGGCTATTCTCCTCTTCGAGATGGTTCCAAGTGCACCAATCACGATGGGTGTCACTTTCGTGGCTCTGGGGATTTTTAATTTTCGAGCGCAAGGTCTTGATACCTTTCCACCTTCACCTCCTCAATAGTAAGGACATTTTGGTCCACTGGTACAGCTTTGTCGATATGTGTTCACTCCTGTGTGTCTTTGTGTAAGACAGTAATATGTTGCCGATTGTGCTTTGGCCACTTGACCGTAAAGATAGTCATATCCCAAGTTATCCTCATTTCCCCATTCTTTGCAAATGATTAGGTTCCTGGACTCTTGTACAAAGCTCAGTTTTCAGATCACGTGACGAGTTTTCCCGCCACAATGACGCAATAATTTGCTAACACACTCCCCGCCTTGATTGACACAGGTCAATCAACAACGAAGTGAATAAAATAGCAAATGAAAGCTGAAGAGTTCGCTGTTCCTTGACTTAATGTTAATGTTCACTAACATGCTCCTGTTCAGCATTTCCCACGAAGGTAATAGGGAAATCCGTGTTTCTGTTCTGACGTTCTTCTCGCAATTGTGATTCGACCTCCACAGGGTAAAGCCTGTTTAGGGGTCTTGTCATTTCCACGACTCGATCTCAACTACGCACTCTTACAACAGCTCCTCTGTGGTAACCATCTTGTCCTGTAATGAGAGATTTGACGACTCCCATACTACAAAGTTGTCCGGCGCTTTGTTTTTGCAGACGCAAATAACATCCCCGACCTTAATCGCTAGTTTCCTGTTACTCGAATTGCAATTGTGATGAACACGTAATTCTTCCTCAGTGTTTCTAATCCACCACAAAGAAATCATAGAATCCGTCCAATTGACTACGTTATCAACTTTCATAACATTTTCTAAAGCTTCACTCACACTCTTCACCAATCTTGACGCAGTGAGTTTAGACAGGGGTTCTAGACGCGGTATCGGATCGTTTGCTTATTCAATGGAGTGACTCGGGTTTTTGACGCCACAATGTCACATTCTACTCTTGACTCATATTCTACTCTCATGTAAACAACGGCTCTGTAAGCCATTTCCGACGTATCTGCAAAACAATGAAGTTGGAGCGATTTAACTTCATTCCCACCGAGACCTTCAGCATGACACCTTTTAAAACTCACTCTTCCAGCTGGCCTTAGGTCTGACAAAAATGACAACCACTCTTGGTTGAGTTCGGTATCCACTAACTCGTCCCAGTCCCTTTGTGCGTTGCACAGTTTTTGAAACATAATCTTGAAGGGTGGAATAACTGGAGATATTAACCCCAAGGGATCAAAGAATCTCGTAGCAGTACTGAGAATCAGTCTTCTTGTAGCTGGCTGAAGTTCTACACCCTGCAATATCTTAGTCAAGTCATAGACCAGTTCATCTTGGTTAGGGTTCCAAAGCATTCCCAAAATCCTCTGTTCTCTCTCAGTACCTTGCTTAAAAACTTTACTGTTTGTAGCAAAGTCTCTACTGAAGGCTGCATCTTGTTTCAGGGATTGCAAAAGACTCACTGAGTTGCTGTCCCTTTTCCTCATATTGAACCTTCCTGATCTGGGACAAAGTTTTATCTCCTTCGACAAAGAAAAGCCTTTGTTCACATCCTTGGCCCCAGAAGCAAAGTCATCTACGTACAAAGACTTCAAAAACTCAAGTGCAAATGCATTGTCATTCAGCATACATATATTAACATGGTGTCTGATAGTGGTATTGAGAATGAAGGGGCTAGCATTCACTCCAAATACAACTCTTGTAAAGCGAATTAACTTAATGTCAGGTGATTCCTTATTGACATCATCTATCCATAGAAATCGTAAAAAGTCTCTGTGTTCTGGATCAATCTTAATATTCAAAAATGCTTTCTCAATGTCAGCAGTTACAGCAACTTCACGAACTCTAAATCTCAGCAAAATGTCCAGTAGAAGAGGATTTAATGAAGGTCCTACATGCAGACAGTCATTTAAGCTTGGTCCAAACACCTTGCATGAGGTATCGTATACAACTCTCACCTTTGCTGTATCTCTGTCAAGTCTCACAACTCCAACTCTCCTGTGTAGGAGATAGTGTACATTTCCTGGTTCTAGGACTTGGTCTTGTTGCACTTCTTCAGCTACTGCACCTTCTAATTGCTCCTTAATCACCTGATCATATTTGTTCATTATTTCTTGTTGGGTCTTAAGCTTCTTAATCACAGTTGCCAACCTTCGTGAATGCATTTCTGTAATTATCTGACCACATAGGGTGATTATCCTTGAATGGTAGCTTGACTTAGTATCTTTCTCCAGTGAATCTTATCTCACTTGCAAACTTGTCATGAACTGAAGTTTCAGTGTCCCTTATGGCTAAGGTCTCCAAGTCCCAAAATTTCTGCGAATCATCTTGCGCATGGCTGATGTCAGCTGACTCAATCTTCAAAACATGTGTAGTACTTAGATTAATAGTGCATTACTCTTTCAATGCTGGAACTGCAGCTGGTTCCGACAGTACCCATCCCAACTTTGTCTCAAGAGCTACGGGTCCAGAAGGATCTCCCCTGATTATTCTTCCAGTAAAGACAGACGAGTAGTGATCTGCTGCTATCAGTAAGTCAACACTAACTGTTCCATTAACAGCTCCACATGCAAGTTGTAGCCCTTGAAGGTATGGATAGCATTCTACTGCACTTTGAATTTCTTGGTTCGATACTGGACTGCATATTACTGGTACAACGTAAGCAGTGACGTACACACTCATTGCATCTATTGTTCTGATGCACAATTGCACAATGTCACATTCCTTTACAGATGCTGAATTGTTACCAAATGTTTTGATTAGCAAGGTTTCCTTACCAACAGTAGGTAAGTTTAACTGCTCAGGTGTCTTGCTGGTTATATAAGATCTCTGATGGCTGCAAGAGTCAAAAATGACTTGAGTATACTTTCCAGTTTCCTGATTATCTGGTCTAGAAACAAAGGCTTGGGCTGTCTGCAACAGTACAGAGTTATTATTGCTGCCGACATGCATTGTTGATGTTCCAACATCTCTGGATCTCTCCTGGGAAGTTTCAGATTTACTAAGTGAGGTTAATTCAGCTCCTGAACTACTAGAATGGGCAGGCTTCTGAGAATTTTCACAGATGGCCACATGATGTCCAGCTCCACAATTAATACACTTGACCTTTGACTGACAACCTGGTGTAATATGCCCTGCTTTCAGGCAAACAAAACACCTGCCACTTCTTCTCGGTATAGATCTTCTAGCCTTTGGTTCGGTAATGGTGCTACAGGAGATGGACTTGATTTTTCTTGCAAAAGACACAATGCAGAGTACACTCCTCACTGCTTGCATAAAGTGCGGATGAGGAAAGGGGCTGTTTGAATCTTCCCTTATGCTGGTCAAATCTTGGGTTAGAATTGGTTGGACTACTTGTTTTCACTGCATTACACCTTTCTCTTGTCCCCAACTCAGATTTCAGCGCATTAAACAGGACATCAAGGTCCCAAGTTTCTTTACTACCAAAATTGCGACTGATGATTAATCTCAACTCAGAAGGAATTTTCTCCATTACAACTGGAACTATTAAATTTCCAAAGGACTCTGATTCGATGCCTATTGCTTTCAAACTTCGAATGTTTATCTCAATCTTGTCATACAAATCACGGAGTCTCTTCGTTTCATGCACTGAACTGACCATTGACAATTTCAACAAAGCTTCCATGTGGTTAGAAATCAACAACTGTGGTTTACCAAATCTGTCTCTAAGGATATCAATGGCAGTTATCATTATAAGTCATCATTATCTTCAGTGAGAGGCAACCCAGTAATTGCAAATTCGGCCGCGCCTGTCACACGACTCTTCAAATAGGTGGATTTTTGGATTCTTGAAATGTCAGTGTTTCTGTTAATTGCAGATTCAAATGTCTCCCACAAACTCTGCCATTCTTCGTAATTGCCTGAAAATGACTTTAGTTCTAGTTTAGGTAGCTTCACTTTCGCGCCCTCATTGCTTTTGACATTGTTATTACATTGACTGAAGCTTGGTGAAGTTCACACGTGTACGCTATTTTTAGTGTCCCCTAAACTCAAGTCAATTCTAGCCAAAACACGTAAACGTTTGCACAAAACTCACCAAGAACTCCAAAGACCAGCCACAGTATCAGAAAAATACCTTAAAATGAAGAGTAGGTAGATATATTTTTTATGCGTACAACATTGATGAAATCTCTTTTTCTTTCAGAGCTCACAAATTCAAGACGGTGAGTAACACTGCCAATATAATTATGGTTATACAAACAATTGGCCATTTCAGAGTTAGTAATAAGAAAGGACAAAGTATTTCAGGGGCCGCGGAGGGGGAGGGGCTGGTAGGGCCGCGGCCCCACCACTTTTTTGCGCCCCCGCCCCACTTTTTGAAAATCAAATACTATGATTTTATTCCTTTTCTCGATTTTCAATGTGAAAGAATTATTTTCAATTGTCAGCCCTCCCACTTTTCACCTTGCTCCGCGGTCCCTGTATTTGATTTATTACTTTCTATTTCCATTTCTAAAACATAAAGAAATACAACAACTACTACATCAGCACCAACAACAATAACAACAACAACAAAAATATACACTCTGCTTTAACACTGAATCTAAAATTGAAGAACTTTTAGCCAGCACGCGAAGGACTTTTCGGTGTTTTACATAAATGCATTTACATACACACCTTATAACTCTTTATTTCAGGAAAATCAACACAGTGAAAGGCAAAGAGTTTGTGGACATGGTAGGCGAATTACTTCCTGTCTGCAGAAATATTTCATTGTAGATTAGAATAAGAAAAAGCCATCTCTTCGCGCACCGAAGCATTTCACCTACAATTCAGAGTGGTTCAATCCTTCTAATGCATAAAGTAGTTTTAAAACTGCATCATCTTCATTTTCTCCGCTAGCCAGATTTCATCCTCGGTGGTTTCAAATACAGTTCCCCGGCCATTTTTGTGCCTGGTTGCCTCTGTCAGTTGGGTTTTTTAATTCCTGTTTGTTCTGTTTGAATTTAGTATTTGTTTTTAATTATTTGACTGGAGTATAAGTGCAACTCCACTGTAAACAAACGTCTATTTTTCTTTCCTTTTTGACTAGAGCGGGTAGTTTTTAGTTGGTCATTGATCTTTCCTTTGTCTTGGGTTCTAGGAACCCATAGCCACGCAAGACGAACCAGTCACACAGCCATCGAGCACAATGGAGTACGATGATGTTGTTACCTCCGCTACTCCGGGGAGCGGAGATTACATGCCTCTTCATCCTTCGCGAAGAAGCTGGGAAATAACTCGACAACAAGTCAATATCATTAAAGTAATAGGTAAAGGGGCCTTTTCCGAAGTTGCCAAGGCAACTCTTTGGAACTTACGAGAGAACCAGAAGGTTATCACAGTGGCGGCCAAAATGCTAAGAGGTACGGCATGATTTAATTGTGACATTTTAGAGTTAAGTAAGTTAGACTTTTGCAGACTAGGGCAAGGCCTCTAATATTTGAGACCCGGACACTTTGCCCTACAAAATGGGCTAACCGGTTTTTTTTATTGAATTATTTTCACATTGTCTTGGAATGTTCTGTTTGATACTACTACTACTACTACTACTACTACTACTACTACTACTACTACTACTACTACTACTACTACTACTACTACTACTACTACTACTACTACTACTACTACTACTACTACTACTACTACTACTACTACTACTACTACTACTACTACTACTACTACTACTACTACTACTACTACTGCTACTACTACTGCTACTACTGCTACTGCTACTGCTACTGCTACTGCTACTGCTACTGCTACTGCTACTGCTACTGCTACTGCTACTGCTACTGCTACTACTGCTACTACTACTACGACGACGACGACGACGACGACGACGACGACGACGACGACGACGACGACGACGACGACGACGACGACGACGACGACTACTACTACTACTACTACTTTGATACTAGAAGCGTTTTCAAGTTTTTGAAAGTTAACGAAAAAGTCGAAATTTTGAATTGATGACTTCATTTGCTGAAATACTTATCCCTCGGGCTCACCGAGAGTTTGCAAAAAGAATTAATTTAACATGGTTACATTATTAATATTTTTAAAATACATCCTAGCCCATGTTTTAAACAAATGCTAAATGCAATCCCGCTTCAACAAGCGAGATAAAGCTTCAGACATTAGCCGCAGTGGAAGAAAGGTTTTGTTAAAAAAAAAGAAAAGAAAACCACACGTGTTGGACGCACCATAGACTTTTGAGAAAATAACGCTTTGTGATGGAGAGTCACTCTGAAAAAATGACGGCAAGAAATTAGCCTAAGCGTTGTGTTATCAAAGTATGGATTGAGGGAAGAGACTGTGTTTGCAGGGAAAGTGTAAAAATATCCTTGGAAACAGTAGGGTTAATAATAGGGAGTATTACTGACATTTCCCTTAAAACGAATTATTGAATTTGCTTGTGCCTATAGCAAATGCACCAGATTCAGACAGAAAGGATCTTTTGTCAGAACTTGAGCTGATGAAAAAACTGAAACCTCATCCACACGTGATCAAGCTATTGGCATGCGTCACAGAAACCGGTAAGAAGAGTAGCGACACATCGAGATATGTTACTTATGAAAGGAAGATTTTAAGTTTTATCTAGAGTTTTTCCCACCTCGCTATTTAGTATCCATCCAAGTCTTGATGGTAATAATGAATGACATAGGGCCACAACCATCTTAGCTTGGCCGAAATGGCAGAATTAAGAATCTTAAAATTATAATGAATTTGATTGCTTAGCTGAGAATTAAAGTAAAATTATTTCAGTATGTTTACGTTGTTGTTGTTGTTGTTGTTTTCATCCACAGACCCTCTGTTGGTCCTTATTGAGTTTGTTCCGTTCGGGGACCTGCTGGGCTACCTGCGGAAGAGTCGAGGGCTGAGCGATACTTACTTTGAGGACCCGGATGTAAAGCCGCAGACCAGTCTAACTGCAGAACAGTTGATGAAATTTGCCTGGCAAGTTGCTGACGGAATGTGTTACTTGTCCTCCAGAAAGGTTTGATTGTCGACTTTATAATTTGCAAGATGCTTTGTACTGCACATGGGCAAAACTTTCAAGTTCAAAAATTTTTTACCTGCGATTTAGTCAAGTTATAACTGACTTAAATCAAGTAAAGTAGAACCTCCCGTAAGCGATGATTCTTTGCTATTTACTTTTTTTACACTCTAACAGACTTAAACCTTGCTTATAGATCATTCATCGTGATTTGGCGGCGAGGAATGTTCTTGTTGGTGAAAGAGAGACGTGCAAGGTAACAGATTTTGGAATGGCAAGAAATGTGCAAGGGGATGATATCTACTCTAAAAAAAGTCGGGTAAATAAAGTAATTTCTCAGTTTCATTCATGAAACATTGTTACGTAATTCTTACTCCTGCCACAAACTGCGATGTAAATATAAGCACCAAAAAGAGTTGCATTTAAGCCGGTCATCAGGTAGTCGTTCGTTGTATGTGGTACAGAGAGTAAACATAAGACAGTTAATAAAGCGTCTGGCCCTGTTGGTAACCTATCGGTGCGAGAAATTGTAGACGAAATGTGACCGTACGTACGGTGTTTAACCGTCGTACAAAGTGCCTGTCACGGGTAAAGCACCGCATGATTCGTTTCTGGGGCAGTTCTTATAGCCAGACCATTTAACACATGAAGGGCAACAAGAAATCAAAAAACGTTTATCAGTACGGGAAAGACAATTCTCGTAGGAAAGGAAATTGAGGTTAGCCCACGAAAATGCATGTTAAGCGTAGTTGCTTCTTTTGCTAAAGCTTCAGATGTTTTCTGTTCTTTATTTAACGACGAAGGAACGCTGACACAGACAAAAAAAAAATTCTTTAACATGAAATGAAATAATCCTCAGGGAACGCGAATGCAGCACTGAATTGGCTATATAGCTACGGTAGATCTTTTGCCTCCTTCTTACGTGTTTTTCTAATTTTCAGGGCCGTCTGCCTGTAAAGTGGACCGCTTATGAGGCTTTATTGTATGGAGTATACACAACACAAAGCGACGTGTAAGTAATCTAACATTTTCAGTTACCCATCTCTCCCAGTCATTCGATCAACCTTGTACCAACGTTACGTACTTGCCGTTAGATGCACACTAGCATTTCACCATTTTTGCAGATGGAGTTATGGTATCCTGCTCTACGAGATACTTACAATAGGTAGGTATTGTCAGAAAGTATTTGCTGCTTTCCATTTAGAAATTGCTTACAATTACTTAATACGAACGACTTCTCGAGTGTCCATTACAACGTTAATGTTTACTTGCACAGTCGATTCTCTCTCAACGGCCATCTCTATAAGACAGACGCCTCGGTAAAACGAACACCTAGAATTGGTCCCTACCTTTCTTTACCTCCTTTGTTGGACTCTCTATAAGAAGAACATCTCTCGGACACTTGGTGCCGGTCCCAAGGGTATCCGTGTTAGAGAAAGTTGACTGTATTATAAACAACAACAAAAATAATACATCTGATTAGAAGTCCCCCCCTCAATTCAATTTATTATGACGTTTTAAAGCTTAACTAAAACCAGCATTGCTTTAACTTTATTGGAAGTGTTTTTCTGTTCCTGTTATAAGGCCCTTCTGATATAGGAGAAGAGGTACCGGAGTGTCGCGCTAAGTTTCCCGCCTTTGATTCAGTTATCGTAGCGCCCTCTCCAGTTACGGTTTCTACGCGGTCATGCAACGAGGTAATATATTGCAATGAGACTGCTGTGCAAGGTTTGTTATTGTAAAAAGTGAACAACAGTCCGGAAATTGGCCGAACTAGTTTCCTACACAGAAGAACATTAAAAAACTATTCAAAGCAGCCATTCACTCTTTGCTTTTGTACCAGAAAACTCAACTCGACCGAACTTAGCCGCGCACTTTCCACTAAGTATCCTAGGTCCTCTATATCTATTCAACTAGGTGGATCCCCATATCCAGATGTAAAGGCCCGTCAAATCGCCGACAGACTTCAAGAGGGATACAGAATGCCGAGACCAAAACATGTCGATGACACACTGTGAGTAAATCCTTTTCATCAGTTGTCAAATGCCCTGAATCGTAGAAAGAGAACCTTTCCCTTCGATTTATGTACAGGTCATAGAAGCAATCTGTGCCTCAGCTGCTGACACATTTACTCCCCTTGACAAGAAACAGGAACTAAATGTCGACAAGATAATAACTTTGATTTAGCCAATCTAAAAAAAAAATCACTTTGAACCCCCCTATATCTTAACTATACCCCCAGTCTGAGCTTAGTCATTGAAACGTAAGTAACATCTTTAATTTTCTACCTTAACGTTTTATACAGTGATATGATAATATTTGACACAACTTAAAGAGGTTTTTCGAACAGGCTGCTCTGGTAGCAGCTAGAGGAGGAACCATGTTTATTAATAAAAAATATTAATGCTCGGAGAGGTGAGAGTGGGAATATTTAGACTGCCTTTTCTTCTAGTGTCCTCAATAAACCAATTTACAATTTGACCAGAAAAAGACAAAAGACAAAAGAGGTGATCTCATTTTATACTGTTGCTAAGTAATTCCTGTATAGTCTAGCTATTCACCAAATAAAGTTATCATTCTCAAAGAAGGACAGTTTCTTTTGACGATACTAGCCATTGTCACTTTTTTTGTATGGTCAAGATATCAGCTTATGTTGAAATGTTGGGAAGAACAGCCAACCGATCGGCCCACGTTCAACAAACTGAGAAAGACGATGAAAGAAATGGAGAAAAAACACAAGGTAACTGAGTTCACTTTTGGAAATAAAGTTTTTTCAATTTACGAATGACGGCCAATATTTGACAATCGAAAAGCCAGCGTCGTGAAAACTCTTTCAGGTTTTCATGGTATTCATGGTAGAATAGAAAAATTACACACGCAAATGATCTGGCCTATAATGAAAAACAAGATAAAAACGTAAACCCCTTTTCCTAGAAAACGTGGGTTTAAAGAGTTTCTTTTTCTAAAAAAACACGGTCAATTCATAAAAAGAAAAAAACTGGTTTCATGCTTACGAGTTCGTTCATTTGTTTCGTACGGCTATAACTGTACTTATTCATTGACATTTTAACAGTTTTTTTCGCACTAAATTGTTGACCTTTGGAAAGAAAAGGCTGCTATAGGAGATTTCCACTATTACATGCAGACGCTTTCGTTTTATTTGCCAGTAGCACTAAACCACTGAGTCACTGTCCCTGAAACCTTTGGAATACAGAATTTCCATAGAGACAACAACAACACATTTTTTATTAACTTCTTCTTTTCTGCACAGTTTTTCTGCTGATTAGCCTAGAAATTGCTAAAAATAAGATTTTTATTCTCTGCTACTTGCATGTAATGAACTTTCATTTTTGTTTTGGGTACATGCGCTTAAGCCAAAATTTATCCATTTCTGCCAATTTATTGTAATCTTTCTTCCCTGCTCTCTTTCTCTTCTTTTTCTATCTTTTTAATAGCTAGTTTTGTTGCCCACTTTATCCTCTTTCTTTCCTCTTTCTGGTTTACTTTCCAGGAAAGGATGAAGTCTTATCCGGAAAGAGTAGTTCGTGAATAGCGAAACTGATAAAGGATTTTCACCAAAATGTGCCAATTGTACGTTTTTTGTCCGTAACTCTGACAAGATTGGTCAGAAATTCTAAAATGAGGTATCAGTGCAAAGATCTATCCTTCCTGACGTCGTTACTCGTAAAAATTTGAAAATTTAGTCTGTTTAGAAGTGCATAATCTACATTGTTTCCTATTGACACGAAATGCACCGAGCCAGAGGGCTGACGAGAAAGTATACAATTGAATAATAACGAGGTCATTATTGCGACTGTTGTTGCTGCAGTCGTTTTACTAAGTTCATGAGTATACGTAAAAACCTAATGGTTGCTTAGCTAAAGCCATTAATCTCAATTCATTCGTCAATTCGTTTTCACATAGCTAAGCATGAATGGGAATAAAAAGAGAATTTAGGACAATTTGTTGGACACCAGATGGTAGCCATATACGTTCCAGGCCGGTCAAAAACTCAGAATCTATTGGGGTGAATGACATTTGTCTTGACATCTGCAAATGATGAAGCATTCTAATCTTCTCGCATAAGGCCGAGAAACCGTTGGACCTACCTTGTAGCACTTTAACTAATCTGACTCTTGTGGGTGTAAAAGAACCCATAACGCTGTTGGCAACACTTTTGTTTTTCAAAAAAGGTTTTCAAGCAGTGCAAATGCGAATCTTAAGGGGGAAACCCTTTTTATTTTCTTTATATTCAAGAATGATCTTTTTCAGAAAATATTTGGCCTGGCTTGAAGATCGTTGTCTGCCTGTCGCCATAGTTGTTGTGTACGCTATAAAAGCTGAAATATTGATGTTTTTTTCCCAACAGACATACGTCAATCTTAGCCAGTATGACAACAGGTTGTATGCTAATGGAGACGATCTAATCGAGGAGGAGCAGGACGAAGTCAAAAGCCGTTCGGCGACTCAGTTTTAAACTTCGCAATTATGCTTGTTTTTCTTTACAACTAAATAGATTGAAAAAGTGTTACACAAAAGTGGAAAGTTAAAAGTCGTGGTGTAAAGACAATTATAGTCATATATCAATAATAGCGGAGCTCCCGCGCGCGCGAAGCGCGCGCGCAGCGGAGCACCATGGGTAAGAAAATTTGGTAAACTATCCATCCCAGAAAATTTGGTTATGACGTAGCGTACGCCCACCCGTACACACACTTCATTTAAGCCGATGTCAAATGTCACAATAGATCTTGCACAACTTGACTAGCCTTTCAGTTATGTAAGCCATCCGTATGAGTACGATTAGATTGACAGCTGTCAAAATCAGACATCCGCTGACAATTATCACTTGACCATCTCGCGGGCTCAGATGAAAGACCAGTCTTTTTGCCCCTACATATAAGCTGATATAATATGTCACACTTGCCAATTCAACATAAAAACGAAACTACGCCGGGCAAGGCTGTCAGTTGGCTGACAGTCGTTTAAAGTTATATTGGGAAGCCAAATTAAGGTCAATTGACAGCTGTCAAAACAGGACATGTGCAGACCAGTATCAGAAAACTAATAACGTGGGCTCAGATTCGCTGAGGTACACGATCTGGCATTTTCTACTACAAGCCGGACGGATATGCCTTACTCACACTCGTAGTCTGTTAATTCGAATATTCGCCAATCTAATTAAGGTTAATTGACAGCTGTCAAACTAGAGTATACGCTGACCATCATCACCTGAGTGTATCGCGGGCTCATTTTTCTATCCATTGAGTTCACGTAGTGTTTAAAGTTTTGCGCTGATATTTTATTTGATCACGTGCTCAATTCGAAGCCCCAGAGGTTAGAAAATCTATCCATCCTACAAAATTCGGCAATCACGTGACCTTACACCGACCACCCGACCGTCCACGCCACAGTCATACCAATGTTTACCTCACACTTTCTAGCTAATTTGAGAGCCTGCAACCTGATATTGTACATCCATGTTTTGATTAATTGACAGCTGTCAAAATAGTGTTTCTGCTGACCAGTATCGCCTGACCGTATTGCGGACTCAGGTATCGACCCACTGAGTTTGAGTATTTTTTTGAAGGTATCCGCTGACAAGTTGCTACTTTTCACATGATCGCAGGCTCTAGTTCAATTTTTTTAAAATGCATATGAAATAAGTTGTGTTTATGAGTCCGTTTTAAAATTTTGATTTCGAACTGACTTCGGACGCGAAAATTCAACCCGCTTTTACATGCAGGTTAGGCAATCGCTCTTGACTTTTCTCACTGTCACGCGTTGATCACGCTCTACGTCCAACTTTTATGTTCTGATTGGTCAAAATTTGACAGGTGAGTTCATGCCGAAAATTTATGCAGCGTCTGGAAACTTGCTTACTGATAGCTGGAGCTGACAGAGTTTTGTGTCATCTTGTGATGTTTTAAACTGTCGTTTTCTAGTTGGTGTACAAAATGAAATACAGCTGCTAGCAAGATTGTTCTGTAATTCATGGCTGGTTTGTCTATTGCGCTTTATGTTGACAAATGCACCGGTTGTGAAAGTCATTGGAAATCCGATTTCGGATGGCATCGTTTTCAAGAATGAGCTTCCTCACTTGTCCTTGCTTGAGGCGTAAGAGGGTTGAAAAGTCTCCAGCGATTCTGGAACACTTGATGACCTTCAGAAGCAGCATCTCGACTGGTAAGCCTGAGCAATTATTGTCTTTGATGTGTTTTTTTTTTCGGTTTCCTGAAGTCGAGCGTATGGTTTATGCGGCTTAAGTTTATACACGAGCGATGATCTAACCGACAATAGTATCAGGTTTAATAGACATTTTTTGACCGAAAATTCAAAGGAAAGGTTCCAAAGATTATTTAGTTATGATTTTGGCTATAAACAGAAAGCTCTGAGCGATTTTCTTGCCTCGAGTTCATCTTGAAAAAGAGCAAACACCGGGAAGCCGGCTTAAAACATAAACAAGTTTATGCTTACCTGACTCATGATTTTCAGAGACACTTTACTCTCAATACTTCTCTTCGTGAATGAAAATTATTGTCTCTGTACATGTTTCACCGAATTATATTTATTTTATTGATTGTTAGTAGTCCCTCCCGCAATTTTTATCGCTGCACCGGTTGTTTGCAGTCGAACATAAACATCGCATACAGGAATACTCAAAACGCCGCGCGTAAATATCACTCGCTTTTAAAGATTACACATAACAAAACCACATACACAGTTTAATAAATAAAGGGAAATAAAACCTAAACATAACAATTTCCCTATCGTGTTGAAGCGTAAATGGTAACTCCATTAATCGCACTGCAAATTTGCCTGTCAAAAGTGAGAACCCGTCCGGCTGGCCGAAAAGGTGATTTTGGGAATTTTTTTTCACCGTTTTCATGCTAAAAGCCCATAATTATTACCCTGCATATCACATAGGACCAGATTTTTCTAACGGAAAAGTCCCGCATTATGGAATTCTTTTCATGAAAACGTTTGATAATTCAATGCTATAATTTGTTTTGCAAAGGAAGCGCTTGCTTTGACGTCGTGGATATTGAATGAGTGCAAATTGTCTTACAAAATTCTGAAAAACTGCAGAATGATAGGGCAAAAAAAGAACAAATTCTGTCCAAGGTCTGTATGATAAAAAAGGGCCTCATAGTACTGTTTACCGGAGACGTGTTGAGAAAAAGTATGTTTAAAAGGCTGGTTTACACGCCACCAGATTTACTTGTAAACTAAACTTGTCGAACACAAAAAATCCGGCCCGATTTTTTATTTTGGCCTCCCTTTTAGACAGATGAATGCAACGTGTCAATTGGCTGCCACGAAGGACTATCGTGGCTTGTGTGGTTCTTAAAATTATATTTCGGGGTTGTCCAATTATCCATAGTCTCTCTAACGGAACATTGTTGGAGAGACTGGTGAATGCGACATTATGATGCAACAGCTAATGCAAATACAATACACGAATAGGTCTATTTGTTTTCCAGGCCTAATCTACTGTGATCGAACATGATTGCTATTTTTGGGTGTACAAATAAGACTATTAACGCGATGTAAAATTTGTTTCACTCTTGGACTGTCAAATTATTTTTCTCTAAAATCACTTAGCCTTAATTTGCCTCAAAAGTCACATGAATGTGCCCTATCTGTGGATTACAAGTTTATTGTTTGATTTAAATTATGAATTTATTAACGGGAGCTTCGCTTTTAGCCCTGGCTAAATCTATATATTATTATAGAACGTATTGACCGTTGTTGTTTAGCCGATAGACCGTTTACCAGCATTTTTACTCAAGTTTGGCTCAGAATTTGTAGTAGCCAATGTCGTTATATTACTGATTTATTGCATACATATATAGACGATCATGAGTCCTGAATGCTCCACTCACACCAACTAATCATGTTTAATAAAACTAGGGTTAACAAAATGAAAAACAGTAATAGAAAAGTAAAACACAGATCTTTACACAGAATTCAAATAGACTTTACACGTTATGTGATTACACAAAATTTGCAATAGATAGCTTGCAAGCTTTAGATGAGCTGCGGAGAGACGATAAGATCACCATCTCTTCGGCGGACAAGAAGAGAATGACAGTGGTTATGGACACCGGAACGTACGAAGGCAAAGCGCATGCTCTCTTGAATGACAGTAGCATGCTAAGCTTAACTTCGATCCCATGGAACGTTACAAAGCCAAGCTAGTAAAGCTAGTAGCACTGTTAAAAGAGTGGAAAGAAAAAGGGAACAACTCCTAACCCCTATGGAAAAAGTTGTACCCGACAGCCGAAGATGTTCCCGAAATTTTACGGCTTACCGAAGATCCACAAAAAAGAGGTGCCGGTTATTACTTGGTGTTACGGTGCACGAATTTATGCTAGTATTGGGAGTATTACGTACGAAGTGGCCAAATACCTAACAGAGGTGATCGGTCCACTCGTAGGAAAAACGGAACACCATGTCAAGAACAGCATTGATTTTGTTCAAAAGATCAAGGGTTTGGAGGTACACCCTTCCCAGAAACTTGTATCCTTTGATGTCAGTGCCCCCTTTGACCAGCATCCCACAGAGGAAGCGACTAGGGTCATCAGGCAGCGGCTGGAACAAGACCACAGCTGGCAGGACAGAACTAACCTTAATGCGGATCAAGTAATGCAACTCCTTGAGTTGTGTTTGAACACCACCTATTTCACCTGCAGAGGTGAATTTTTCAAACAATACAAGGCCACAGCCATGGGGTCTCCCATACGTCGTTGCAAACGTGTATATGGAACATTTTGAGAAACAGGCTTTATCCACTGCGCCTATAACCCACCGGATATTTGGTATCGCTACGTGTTGATGATACGTTCACTAAAATGCACGGCGCCAACATCGACGGCTTCACCCGACATATCAACAGCATTAACCTCACATCAAGATTACCAGTGAACAGGAGGAGGACGGGAAATTACCCTTTCTTGACTTCTGTGTTCGCGTCAATGAGAATGGGAGCACAAAAACCACTGTGTGCAGGAAGCCTACCCATAATAATATAATGCAACACTTGAATTTTGCATCTAATCATCATCTCAATCATAAAAGAGCAGTTGTGAGGTCCCTTCTACACAGAGCAGAGCGTTTGGTTAGCGAGGATGAAGA